AGGAAGTTATATGAGAAATTAATGACGAATCGAAAAATCGCTATTGTATGATGTAGATTCTACGAAGATTGGAAAGTTTGGTTGACCCCTAGTCACTTGCGGTACGTCAAGTATTGGTTTCAGTATACTCTTGTCAAGGGAAATATGAGCTTTGTTGTCTAGCAGCCTTTTAAGTAATAATCGTCGGTTCAGTTCTTTACTTTTAAGCCGTACATGGGGAATCCAGGTGAGTCGTTTGTCTATATACAGCGATGGCGTTTTCGGAAGTTAGTTGTGAGGTAGTAATGGAGGTAGACTTATGTGACGGAGGACACCACACCACAATTCAAACATACTACCTAGATTACTCGATATTTCTCGGAGTCATTGGGGATATAGGTATAATCTTTCCGATTCACGCTAATAAATTTGATGTCCACCACAATTCTTGCTCATTAACACACATTCAATCCACAATTCATACACACTACACCAGAGTGCTCCATATTCCTCGGGCTAATCTGAGATAAGACGTTCCATTCTGGCTGATAAATGCATAAAGGTACAAAGAACTATGAACATTTTAAAAAATTATGAGCTTGATATGTTGGATCATCGATCTGTGCGTGCTGCCATGACCCAAGTTCGTGCATTTATTTTGTTTTGCATTATTAAATTTGACTAACCATTTTTTTTTTTTTTGAACCGACAATTAAATATAGATGTATTTGGATGGTTCGGTGAGCTATGTTTATAATCGAAGTTAAAGGATGGAAGTGTTATTAGTGTTAGGATAGTGGGGTCGGGATGGGAAATGACATCAGCAGTATCCAACGGACTCGTCCAAACTGTATAAACAATATTGTGAAAATCCGCTAAATTTCCTAACTTCCAGGTCGGATTTAAGGTTAAGGATGTGTGTCCTTGACTTCCCAGAGCAAATACAGGTGCCATGTTCGATCGAAAGTCAAAAATTACTTATCCAGCTTTGCCCTGCGGGAGCAGAATTACAGATTTGAACTATTGTTTACGTCAAAAATGATTAACCAAAATAAAATGTACATTGGTGTAAATATGGGCATAAATGATTTAAGAATATAGCCTTGACGTGAGAGAAAGAGAGAGAGGTAGAAGAAGAAGATAGAGGGAGAAAGATATAGAGAAAAGTTTGCACACACTTTTAATTTTATGTTAATCGTATATTACATATAATTTTTTTTATTTGAACAATAATCTTCCGCATGACAGATTAATTCAAGATAGGACTTGTAATTTGGGCAATTTTTTGGGAGAAATTAATTGTTTTCATCAATTTTTCATAGCTTTGCTTTTCGAAGTATATACCGCTGAGTTTTTTACCGAGTAGGGGGGGATTGTGTATAGTCTAGAGCGTAAAAGTAAGTTATTAGCGAGAAAGAAGTGGGTTCGGACCCCGACACGAGGACTATAAGGGACTATTTTGGGTATGTTTTTGTTGATAATGTTGTTTTCATAGCCTTTCTTTGCGAAGTAGATAATGCTGATTTTTTACGACTTGCATCGAAAGTTTATCAAACCCTTTCGACTTACTTTATGAATAAAATGCACATTTGCGAGAAATATCAAAATTATCAGTGTTGGAATGTTAAGATAGTGGGAGAAAAGTTGAAATTGTACCGGGCCGCCTAAAGGCAATCTTTAAAATGGAAATTTCCAAGTTGCTCCAGGGAGGCCCGTATAAACCGAGAATGGATCACAAGTTCAAAAGTCTTTTTTTCTTTTTTTATCGATTTATCAGCACAAGCTGTAAATTGCTTTTCCTAGGTTCTTGTCGTAGGCGGCCGTTCATAAGAAAAGCAACATTCATCTCGCTGTCGGACTCATCAAGTCTAATGGGCTCGGTGCAAGTCCGAACAAAGGAGTTACATCGCACACGTTATAAATTCGTCCAGACTGCAAGCGTCAAAATAAAATCTCCCCATGTCTCGACCTCGACAACGTTCTCCGCGTGATTGATGATCTTGTCAAATGATCCGGGCATCATTAACCCGTGAAAGTTCGGGATCGATTCAAATCCGAACCGAGTAATTAGATTATTGAGTTATTCGATTTTATGAAAAATTGACGTCAAATCTATTTATTCATTAGCGAAGATCATATTTTTCGTGCCTGAAAGTAATACAACTCGTAAAATTTGTCTGAGCAGTTTCATCATCACTGTGCATCCGGTAGCCGGCTACTCATCACACTGATGACAACTGTCCACACGTAGCGCCCAACTCCATGAATTGTCAAAAAAAGGGTTTATACAAAGTTGGTGTGTCGTACAGGATCATAAAAGCTTTGCGTAAAATCCCTGACAGGGGAAAGCTATGGTCTTTTTCTTTTGTTTTTCCCTTTTTCACGGAATTTCACCTCACAGCCAACGACCCGGAATTATATAACAAAACAAATTTTATACGTCTATACATGAAAAACGTTACAATGATTTGTTCAAGCGGTATAAAATTTCCATAATACTCAATCTCTTGACCTGGAACGTTTTCTGTTCAATTTGAAATGAAATTTTCTAAAATTAAAAACTATTTAAAATGTTTGACTAAATGAAAATAAATAAAAATTGAGCTTTATTCCAAGCACTTTTCCGGGAAACATTCACAATTTTTCTTTGTTGGCTCTACATGGTTCCAAGTTGATGAACTCGCTTTTTTAAGGGACTATGGGAAGAAAAACTTAAAGAATTTTTTTCTAGATTTTTAAAGAGATTTCAGAACAATGGACAGTAAATTTATCTTATATTTCTTCCATGTTTAAATTTTAAATAGAAATTGACTTTTGAGGTCTTTTTCGAGGAATAATTTTTCGTTGCCAACTCTACACTTTTTCGATAACGACGTTTTTTTCATGGCAAAGGAACGTGATTTTTTTTTGGTATTCGTCTGGTCCCCGTGGTCAAAAGTTTTAACAATAAATAAAAAAAAATGTAATAAAAACTACAGTTTCGTTCAGGCGTTATGAATTTTTATTTTGCTGGTATTAAACGAACTGTGAGGATTTTGTCCATTTTAAACTGATATATTCCAGAATCAAAATTTATCCAAAGTTTATTTAATTTGTTTCATGTTGAAACTTGAAATAAAAATGGTCTTTTTAGACCTTTTTCGAAGAATGATTTATAATTGTTCTCAGTTGGATGTACACATTTCATGTTAGATAAACTCGTTTGTTTTAAGTGACAGTGAAAAGTAAAATTTTAAGACTTTTTCGAGAATTTAAAGAGGTTTAAGACCAAAGGGCATCAAATTTATGTTGATATAATTTTTACCCTAGATAATTTACTGATTGAATATTATGACCTTACCGAAGCTGTAACCTATTAGATATTAAATTTTATTAATTTTAGTTCAATTGTTCTCCTCCCTCATAAAAGCAGGTTCAATTTTTGTACTCGAGTATGCCGACGAGATGGAAATAGCGGACGGCGGGATGCAAGGGTTGATTTCATATCCCGTGTCCTTTCAAATTTATCACTAAATGCCACGCGGTTTTGACAAGGTGGCCCAATAAAACAAAACGGCAGTGGCATTAGTTTGTCTGCGAATATTGTAAGGTGGGGAGACTTAAAGAGCCGCAATGCAGTCTTGCCGAACACTTGGCAAAATCTCAGCCGTATTTTTCCCTCGAGGGCTGCCCGCCCGGCGTGAGAGTGCCCGATAAAAACGCGACCGCGTTTCCAACCACCGGCCGAAAATGTCATCAACCCTCGGATATGAGAACGATTCCCTTGTGTTTTATTCAGTTCGCATCCAACTGGCGTGACCCCGAAGCCGTACTCCAGTATTTTCGCGTATTAAATTCGAGGGCGTAATACAACTCCCGGCACGTGGTTTACTACAAGTACGCATTACCTCAAAACGTATCTTTATTAATGACATCCACCGATAATCCATCAGCGTTTTGAATAAGAAACAGTACCTACACTGAATTAAACCTAAATTAATTTTTATATTCATTAAAGGATTTTATTTATAAAAGACTTTTTTTTCTTTAAAGAGTCAAATTTTACAATTATAATCCTTCTGGTAATCATAATTCTAAGTAGAATTGACCTTATTATTCACAGATATCTTCTCGCCAAATTGTGACAGATCACAATTCACAATCTTCAATAAAGCGTTAGATTGCTCTTTAATCTATAAATTTCCAACGAAAGGGAAAAGCTACGAGACGCTAAAATTGGAGCATAACGTGGATTATATGACCCTTGACCATCCTTTCCTACTATTGCACAGAGCCAGAGGCTTATTTCAATCCAATCGAGAGGAATTTTTCTTTGTGTTTATGTTAATTATTCCTTATAGAAAACACTGACTTATAGATTTGCTTAGTCGTCATACTTTCATCACACCAGTAATTGTACAAAGTTGGAAGATACAACTGTATGTGACGTCTTCACTGAGCAACCTTACTTTTTCTCAAATTTGCCATAGAACACTGATAGAAAATAAATTTTTTAACATTCCTCTATTTTGAGTGACGAGGTCGGATATCCCATTTTATAGCAATTTTCATAAGCCGTTTATAATTTATGTTAATGTTTGATCATGCTGGATTGATGTTTATACGCTCTGTGGCGTTCGACTGCGTCATTGTTAGAATCTTCTTTTGCCTTTTTTCATTTTTCTTTTGTCAGAACTTCTTGTTGTTCGTTTTCATTCTTGTTATTTTTTTCCACCCAATGGCTTGATCGTGAAGCGAATTTTTTATATGTCGTAGTTTGAATGTTAGTTGTTTTTTTTCTTTCGGGAGTCACACAGACGAAAAGAGGGTCCTCCTCGGTGGGAAGAAGTCGATGGGCGGACGCTAAGAGGAACGGTCTCGAAAGCGCGGGAATGACCCGGTTGGCGGGAAGAGTTAAAATTCAAATTTCGCAAGCGTATAAAGATAAAACGTGCGTGAAAAGATCTGATCTAGTCTAGACGTATGTGCTCTATGCTTGCAGATATGTGCTGGGTGTTAGACACGTGGGTCGTCTCTCTCACCTGATCGTGTGCTCTGTTGTGGGGGAGGGGTCGGGGTGTCTGGGGACATGGAAGCCGAAACCGCCGCCATGGGGTAGACTGGGTCGCAGCACTCCCTTTCAGGAAATTCGCTCGCTGCCGATAGCCCGAGCAACGCCGCCCACAACGCCCAACAACGATACATTTCACGGGGGCACGCTTGATTTCATCGTCCCGCTCTGCTTGCTCACTCCTCACCGGCCCCTGCCCACCCGCTTAATGACTCGATGACCCGCAAAAATGTTCTGCCAACCGGTCGGATCGTTAGACGCACTGCGCTCGCGCTGCCCCGAGCGCTTGCGCCCAGTTCCATCCTCGCCTCGGCCGCCACTCGTACAAATCCTTCCTACCATCCGACCCCCGAAACCCGTCTCAGTTAATTGATCTACCACCGCAATTCTGAATTTGGACGGCACAAATTTTATTTCCACCCTCCACCACTCCAATTTAAAATAGGATCTATTTTAGGCACAAGTACTGGTCGACCCCGTGGAAACAAAACATTTATTAAAAAGTGAGCGGAAGTTATATTCTTAGAGCCCAACAAAAACATGTATAACATTGTAATTGTCGTTAAAATTTTACAAACATAAAAATTAACGGAAATTATTAAGCGATAAATCAACAAACTCGCAATGCTCACTGCTTAGGGAATTTCTTTAATACACAAATAATTTAAAAAAATAGAAACTACACAAATATTATTGTGCTATTCTACTCTGCTATTAATAATAATAAATCTTTATTCCGATATTAGCATAAAAAATGCTGAACAGCAGAGTACGTATGCACATATTTAAAAAATTAACATAAATTCAATATTTATTGCTCAAATATAAATTTTCCAATTCAAAGTTCATATAAGTTTTCATAAACAATATAAATGTGTGGTGATTAGTGACCGTTAATCGATATTTTTATTATATTATTGTTTAAATAAAACAATATAAACATTTTACTTATAAAATAACACTAATGGCTAATAACAATAAGTCATACAAGGTGATTTTAACTCCCCCTATATTAGTTTATTTTGGGGTGTTTGTGAAAACCCCAAGGCACGTAAATTTTTATCTGTTGGGTAATTTCTCACGAGCCAGAAAGTTTGATCTAACTCTCCAGGATAACGGGATACCGATAGGAACTTAATCTAACTTAATTTTTTCGGTCCAATTTACCCAAGGGCAGAATGATCACCATTTTTTTTGTAATGTATTGATTTTGTTTTAATGTTTAATTTTTATTTTTAGGGCCTAGCAAACTACATTGGTCGTCGCCAGCCCTCTCTTTCTTAGCTTTTCGTTTTTTTAACCTACTAATTTATTTTACTGTTTCTTATGCCAAGTTAAGGCATTTTATGATATAACGGTTACCAACTCTTTGCTTTATACGATTGCTAGACTTTCTGTACCTCATGGATTGTAGAACACAAATAACAAACACAAATACATAGAAACAAAATTATTGGATTATAGTATGAAAAATATATTGTACAGTGGGTTAAACCGCGACACCCAACTGGAAGTTTGGACCTTAAGTCCTCTTGTATGATATTAACTTTTTTCCTTTACTTTTTTCTTTAGTAAAGTCCTTAGTATACAGAACAAATATTTTAAACCATTGAAATTAAACAATTATTTTTTAACCAATTGGTCGAAAGATGTCTTATCATACAAGATAATATAGGCATTAATCTATTCATGTACTGTTTTTCTTTTATATTTTGAATCAACTTTGCAATTGAATAACAAGAAAATTAAGTAAAATCTTCAGCCCTTATAATTCCCACTTTAAAAGAAATAAAACCATTTTTAAGTAGTGTGGTAATTTTTTCTTATAGGGTTTAACGTCCAACCACAGGTTAAAAATCACTTGTTATAACTTCTTTCCAAAATAAAATAGCGATGCCACATATTATGTTTTTGAGCCAGTATATGCGTACTAGAGTAATAAAATATATAGGATTTGTGCAGAGAAACAGGCAATATTGTTTAAATTCGAGGGAGCTGCTTTGTTGTCTTCTACTCGGTGGGCTTGGTGAATGGTGGAGTGGTCTCAACCCAAATTGGTGATTACAACTACTCCTTGACATTCTTACTTATACTTGGTTACTCCATAATAATAGTTTTTTTATGGAGGGGCCGTCAACCCCGTCCCCAAACCCCAAACCTGGAGGAACAGCTCATTTTTAGGGTTTTAGGGCAGCCTTCCTTTAAATTATTGTCGACCTACTGAGATGAAATTTGATTTCCGAGTTAACTCGCCTTCGCATACTCGTTTTTCTGCAGATGGGATCCATTTCCTAAGGATGAAGTGAAATGTCATGCCCGGGACATAAACCTTGGTGATTAAGATATATTTAGGGGTTTGTTGACGGGTTTGGCGAAGAACATTTTCTGTACATTGCTGGGGAGTGAGTAGGTAGCATAGATAGAAATTCCAAATTATAGAAAAATAGTGATTCTAAGTGTGTTAATTAAACACAACTTTTTCTTATAAAATCAGTGATCTTATAAAATTTGAATATATTATAACGTTTAATAGTTGATTTATTTTATGGCAATGGTTAAGTCAAATATCAAAGAGAAAATGTGTGTTTCAGTATGCATTATTGCGTGTTCTGGCCCTCACCATTTGGGATAATTATTCAACATAATTTTTTTATTTTTTTATTAAATGTATAATTTTAAGAGTTAAGTATTGCGGGACAATTCCTAACATAACAGGTACTTGATTGTAAAACGAAGAATTATAAATGCGAAATATGATATAAAATGAATAATGTTTGTTTAATAGCGGTGGGCACGAGGATAGGGCGTTTGACACTTATTTCCCACGCTAGCGTTCCTGGGTTCGAATCCCGGCACAGCCCTTCATGTTTTTAATTGTCAATAACATGGTGAAAGCATTGTGAAGTGTTTTTTTTGCTATAGCCTAATAGCCATGTAACATATTATTATTACTATTATTTTAAGCCGTCTTGTTAAACTTCATGATTTATTTCTCTCAAATATTGTACTATTGCTCCGTACACTTCTAAGTTCGTAGCCCCTAAGATAGTTTTATAATTGAACAGGAGTTCCAGGTATTTTCCAATTGAATCAAACAACTTCTTCCTTTCTTTGCGATATTTTGAACTAGTCATAATTATATGTTTGCACGATTTTGTCACTAAGCAAAAACCGCATTTATCCGAACTAACTAAGTTTACTCTAAATAGATATTCTTTGTAAATCGCGTGGTTCGAACGCAGCCTACAAATAGATTTGCACAGAGCTTTAGTAACTAATCTACCTTTGAACCAGCAGGCCCCGAATTTTGAGTGAGTGGTTATATAAAATTTTCCTTTGCACGAGCTGATATATCTTTTCTCCCAAATGGCATAGTATTTATTCTTTAATTTGCTAAAAAGTTCACTGTAATGGAGCGCGAAAGATGCACTTTCACTCTGAATACTAGCTTTTTTTGCCAATAGATCTACTCTTTCATTTCCCGATAAACCTGCATGTGATCTGACCCAAGCTATAACCACTACATTACCCATGTTTTTCATGTAGTTGATTTTCTCCAATATTTCGAAGAGCAGATGATTGTCTGCTGCTACCGTCTTCCGAGTTGACTATCCGTTATAATCATGGATTTTTCATATGTTTTGGAGCTCAAGTAGCTGAGCGCATTCGAGATGGCATAGAGTTCAGCTGAAAAAAAAGGTACTTTCTTGTGGCAGCTTGATTAAGCACTCATGTCTATTAAGTGGGTCGTAGAATGCGCATCCCACGCTTGTTCCCAACTTGGAGCCGTCCGGGAAAACATAGTGAAAGCCTGGCCACTTAACATTGATTTCGTATTGAAAAATGCTATTCGCCGTTTTTGTATCAATATCTTGAAAGTCCGGAAAGGAATAAGTATCTACTTTAACCATCAAGTGGTTTGACCCCTCGTACGCAAAACCCAACGGGTAGATGGATTTTCCTTTATGGCACGAATTTCTTTACTTTTTAAATTTTAAAACCTTGTTCAGAAGGTTGTTAATTAAATTCAATATACAATGCCATCTTTCGCCCAATCACTTTCTTCTCGTCCTTTTTCTGACCCCATCATTTTTTTCCTCTGACGACAGAAATCCTGCGAAAACTCTTTTTTAAAACCTTTAATACTCATCATTCCTTCTCAAGTATTAAGCTTTCGTCGGACCAGCAAGATTTGTAAGTTTTTGGTACCATTGATTTACTCTAAAGAACAATGAATCTTGATTATTGGATGTGGCCTAGGCTTTTGATAGGGTCTCGCACAAGTATGCTTTATAAATTGAGGTTTATATGTTAGCAGTAGGGGGGCGTCGGTGGCCGCAACGGTTTAAGCGTTGACACGGCGCTCATCACTGTAAGGTCCCCGGGTTCGAATCCAGCGGCCCTGCATTCGAACCCGACATAATTACAAATGGGCTTTTTTTCAAAAACACCGGCACTCTGAGGGTTTATAATATGACCTCTGCTGTTGCGAACCCTCGTTAAAAAAAATATATATAAAAATAAAAATAAATAAATTATTATATTGTACTTCTTAATACTACCTGGAAAATATGTTTGTAAGGATTGTGATACAGCTTGTCTAAAGTTTATATAACCTCTGCTGTTGCGAACCCTCGTTAAAAAAAATATATATAAAAATAAAAATAAATAAATTATTATATTGTACTTCTTAATACTACCTGGAAAATATGTTTGTAAGGATTGTGATACAGCTTGTCTAAAGTTTATATAACCTCTGCTGTTGCGAACCCTCGTTAAAAACAAAAGTTAACAATAAAATCTTTCAGGAAACCAAGTAAAATTTGGATTTTTCAATGGGCAATTTGAACATTTTATTAAATTGAGAGAAGCTTGTTTTTTAAAGTTCAATTTTGTCTTTTTTATGCTTTGTATTTATTTCACTATTTTTAATTGACATTTCGTTATTTTAATGACTATTATTTTTAAACCATTTGTAACCTTAAGATCAAATTGTTAAAATTAAATGTTAATTTTGCGTTAGCGGTAACTGACCATTAAAAAAATTAAGCAAATGTGTTCAATCCTCATCACTAGGAGCAAAGAGTAAACACCATATATGTCAATATTTCTTGAGCCAAGAAGATCTTACTTTAACTTTAGACAATAATTTTGGCAAATCGTAAAATTTATGTTCTAACTTGAACTTTGGATGTTTTAGATCAAGGTAAAAAAATAAACCTAGAGCAAGTTTGTTGCTCTTTTGATTAGTGTAATGA